CACCCCTCCCCCTCCAGCTCTACAGCCGGGGACACCGCCAGCGCCAAACCGCGATTGCTTCGAAACGCTCCCCCACAGGGATCTCCGTCCCCTCCCAGCCGGGCATGGCACTGCCTCCACCCGCCACCACTGAACCCTGCAAGGCCGAGAAGACTTTCTGACCGTGCCTGGCAACTCCGCGCTGCCGGGAAACCCGGGGGCTGCCTGCAGCGCTCTCAGACTCCCCGCTCGCTGCCGCACACAGGCGCGCTCCCTCGCCCTCTCCACCCCCCGGCTCCGCACGCCGTCTCACACACACACACACGCGCGCACGCTTTCTCTCACTCTCCCTTTACCCGGAGGTGCGCTGGTAGCCATTTAATGAGGGGGAAAAGTTAAGAGATTAAACCAATATGAACCATCGTTGCTCGTAGCAGTGCCCTATCCAGAGCAGAGCAGAATCCAGCGAGCACCCCTGCAGGAATGGAGTCGGTAAAACAAAGGATTTTGACCCCTGGCAAGGAGGGATTGAAGAATTTTGCCGGAAAATCGCTTGGTCAACTCTACAGGTAAGACTGAGATCTCTTATAGGGCTCTACTTCCTAGAAATAATTGGAAGCTTTTCTTAACCGCCAGCTGCTGAAGGAGGTCGAATGCTTTGGGGAGGCTAGTGGTGGAGGGGCTGGGAGCTGTTGAGATACTGCTGATATAATCTGGATCCTGGAAACTAGTGCTGAAGCTTCTCAATATGGCACCCTCGTAACTTCTCTGTCTGATTCGTAGATAGTGTCAGTAAATATGCAGCGAAAGATTACCCCACAGGTTCCCATCTTGAAAACATAAGCAGGACAGAGCAGCTCCCTGTATTTTTGTTCTGTGTTAATTTTGCAATGCAGTCACAAGATCTTTCCCTCTGCCCTTACCAATCATTTAATAATAATAATAATAATAATAATAATAATAATAATCTTTCCTGGTTTCGATTAGTCTTGTCCCTTGTGTAATTCGTCGTCAGAGGAAGATAAACATGGAGATGTATAAATAATTGATATCCGAACGATTTTTTTTCTCCTGAAGCTGAAACATATAGAAGGATGTGTTTAATTATTCATCCGTCTGCCTTGAGAAGCATCCACTCGTCTTATAAGTAATACACAACTGCAATTGCTAAACTCAAAAGCATCACTCAACAGTATGTTTCTGTGTGTAGAGAACATTTCTACGGTCTGCGAGCCCTGTACACACGGATAAACAAGCCCAAATTCTCGCATACCTAAAAAGTGTGTGCACTAAAGTTGACACACCGTGTGCCATCCAATCTGGCGACTTTAGTGACCTCCAGGACGTTTGAGAATAGTCTGTGAAATTCCAATGTATTTTCGATTGTCCTGTCTGCTAGAAATTACCCCGAAGGTGGTGTTTGTTTTTTTTTTTTCCGAATTACAGATTAAAGGTAACTGCGGATTTGTCTGCCTAGGTAGGTCACGTAAAAGTCTTTTTTCCATACCTATGCGGCAGTGTTGGGCACAGGCACAAGGCTGTTCCACAGCATGAGTCACAACTTCTGCTGCCATTTTCAGGGAAGGGGACATATCAGCGAAGTGATAAAGACAAAATTAAGATTTCCATTTTAGTAGAAAGGGTACAATTTTGAAAAGCCCAAAGCAAAATCAAAGCCATCAACAACGCAGTGAATATCCTACAGGTTTTTGTCATATTTAAGTCATTTTCAATGATCAGAAAAAGAAAAAGAAATACTGATAATCTAGAATAACTGCTTAAAACATAATTAAGGGAATAAACCTCTTTCTCGCCCTAAAAGACTCTACAACATATAAATAAAACGGTCATGCCTACTGTTTTTATACAGTCACACAGTGAATAATGGAGAAACGGTGTTTGTATTTTCCAGCAAAACTCCGTTTGAACTCCCCCCTTGATTAACAAATGCGCGATTTACTAATATTTTTCAACGCACGGGACTGAACTATTTTGCTTCCGATTCTTAGAATTAAAATAGTTTTCCTGTCCCTTATACCTCAGTGTCTTCCCGAAGACAAGAAGCCCATTCAGGGAGAAGATGCTTCTGCATTATTCTTTATTCGCACGAACGAATTTTGAACAAAAAACCCACGGTGTTTTATTTTATTCACAACTTTAAGACATTTCTTAACGCTGCGGTCTTTAAGCACGGAAATAATTCTCCCAGCAAAGAAAAATCGGGAGGATTTCAACTGAGTAACTATTGGAGAAAATCCCTGTATTTTCTCCAAAACACAGAGAACCTTTTGAGGCTTATTCTGCTAATTGTTACTGCCCCATTAGCCGGATGAGTTAACCTCAAAGAGATGCTCCTCCGAGGAGAATTTCTGACGTGAGAAAACACTCCTAGAGCAGGGGTGAGGGCAGCGGGAGGAGAGTCCAGAGTGTCGGGAAACGGTCACATACTCGCTCCTCAAGACGATGGAGCTAGGATGGGAGCGGTTAGTTTTTCTGTCTTTTAAATATCTCAGTGACTGCAAAAGAAGGCGAAGAGGCTCAGCATGGGACACTTGTTCGATAAACCCGATCTTTCTTACTACCGACACGGCATTTGTAAAGCTTTTCCAGCAAAGAAGAAATAAACCGAAATGTTCTAAGTCACTTTTCGTGGGTGGCGGGGGTGTGTCCGTGTGTGTGTGTGTCCCCGTCCGTATTTTTCTGTTGATTCGAAATAGCTGCAAATAACTGTTCCCCTGCAGATTCCTGCACATTGTTTTCTAGGAGATAGGATTCTCATGTGAAAACAAGGGAGTGGGGGCAATGAGATCGAGCTTAAAGCCGATCTGGGAAGGTTAAACCTGCTAAGCGATCACACGCTCGCAACGTGTAGCTGAGCAGATGCGATCTTTTGGACAGACTTCTCCGGAGATGCCAGTTCTCTAAAGACGGTCATGTTTTCTTCCCCTGCATGTGACAGCCATTTTGCAAATCTAAAATAAGTAGCAATATCCCCCCCCCCCTTCCTGTTAATATTTCTTTTGTTCCCAGACCTGAAGCGAGGTGCGCACCGAGATCACCCCCCTTGGTGTTTCTAATACAGCAAGGAGGGAATAAAACCTCCTCCAAAAGGCTGTTTCGGTGTCCATACTATGCCTCTTGGGCTACCCAACATGGCGCCTCTGCAGTGGTTACAGATGATGCCTTCTTAATGCGCCCTACATATTTAAGCAGAAGTCTTTAATGATAGATGAGCAATTCTCAGCTAGAGCTCCTCCCTGGGCTTCTGCGGCGGGGTGGCGGGGGGAGTTGGGGATGACTAATCGTGACTCCCACAGGTCATTGCTAAAGAACAGCTGAAGGTGAATGGAAAACAAGGAATAAATCCTCAAATCAATCCAAACCGAGCCAAAGGGGCGGGGGGAGCGGTGAACTTAAGCCTTCAGCCGCCCGAAGTGGCTGTGCTCAGGCGGCCAGGGCTTGACTTTCCCTTCTTGTGTCGGGCAGAGTCCTAGAGAAGAGGCAGAAGCCCGGGGACACCATCGAGCTGACGGAAGATGGAAAGCCCATGGAAATGCCCGAGAAGAAAGCCCCGCTGTGCGACTGTACCTGCTTCGGGCTGCCCCGGAGGTACATCATTGCCATCATGAGTGGACTGGGATTCTGCATTTCCTTCGGGATCCGATGTAACTTGGGAGTGGCCATCGTGGACATGGTCAATAACAGCACCATACACCGAGGAGGAAAAATTATTAAAGAGGTGGGAACCCTTCCCTCGTAAATCCCATGTCCTCCCAGTACAACTCCCAGGTCAAGCACCTTAGCGCAGGCGAGACGGGCCCCGATGGTTTCGCGGCATTTCCCCCCGCTTCGGCCCGCGATGCTCCCCGGCCCGGCCCCGCCGCCGCCCTTTGTAGGACGGAAACCCCGTTCTTGAAGGAGAAACCATTTTTACCGGTTATTCCTATTTTTCCTTTTCGGTTCCCAGCCCCACTTTGCGGTACTAATTCGCGGGCACATTTATTTATTTATTTTTTTTCCTTTTGCACAGAACCTTGAAAAACGCAGATATCTCGTAAAACAAATGTAGGGGATGGGGGAAGGAGGGAGTCGAATAAGCGACTGCCAGCGGATGCGCGGCGCTGTAACGGAGCCGGGGAGGTTGTGCAGGAATGTTTGAAAACACCAGGGTGGAAGAATTTGCTTTGATAAAAGGCGTTCGATGATAAGACCCGTTTTAAAGCGAGTTACAGCGTAGTGAGAAAGAGGTGAATGCTAAATACAGATGAGTGTTAAATATACAAGTCCGCAGACAAACAAACCCCTGTAGCTTCCTCCTTGCACAGGCAAGAGGTAGGTGCTCACAGCCACGGCCGTTCGGGCCGGGGAGTAGGGCCACC